TCTACCTAGACTTCAGTAAAGCCTTTGACACCATTTCCCACAGCATTCTCCTGGAGAAACTGTCTGTTCATGGCTTGGACTGCTGGTGTTTTTCTTGGTGAAAAACTGGCTGGATAGCCAAGCCCAAGGAGTTGTGAATGGAGGTAAATCCAGTTGGTGGCTGGTCACAGGTGGTGTTCCCCAGACCTCAGTGTTGTGGCCAGTTCTCTTTAGTATCAATCATCCAGATGAGGGGATTGAATGCACTGAGTTAGTTTGGACATGACACCAAGTTGGGTGTAGTTTTGATCTACCTGAGAATAGGAAGGCTCAGCAGAGGTATCTGGACAGGCTGAATCAATAGGTTGAGACCAACTGTATGAGGTTTCACAAGGCCAAGTGTTGGGTCCTGCACTTGGGTCACACCAACCCCAGGCAATGCTCCTGACTTGGGAAAGGGTGGCTGGAAAGTGCCTGGTCGAAGAGGACCTGGGGATGTTGGTCAACAGGAGCTGAATATGAGCCAGTGTGTGCCCAGGTGGCCAAGAAGGCACCAGTATCCTGGCTTGTATCAGCACTAGCATAGCCAGCAAGGGCACAAGGCAGGGATTGTCCCAATGTCCTGGGTACTGGTGAGGCCCCCTCTTGAATCCTGGCGTCAGTTTTGGGCCCTTCATGACAAGAAGGACGTTGAGGGTCTGGAGCGTGTCCAGAGAAGGGCAAGGGAGCTGGGGAAGGGGCTGGAGCACAAGTGTGAGCAGGAGCAGCTGAGGGAGCTGGGGGTGTCCAGCCTGGAGCAAAGGAGGTGAGGGGAGACCTGCTGGCTCTGCAGCTGCTGAGAGGAGGTTGGAGCCAGGGGAGGTCTCTTCCTCCAAGGAACAAATGATGGGACAAGAGGAAATGATGGGACAAGTTGTGCTAGGGGAGAATTAGATAGGACACTTTCCTCCTGGCAAGGGTTGTCAGGCCCTGGCCCAGGCTGCCCAGGGCAGTGATGGAGCCCCCATCCCTGGAGAGATTTCAAAGCTGTGTAGATGTGGAGCTGAGTGACATGGGGCAGTGGTGGCCTTGGCAGGGCTGGGGTAATGGTTGGACTTGATCTTAAAGGTCTTTTCTAACCAAAATGATTCCATGATTCATGGTAACACCATTATTGAGGAATATTATCACAGGGTTGCAGAGGTGGACAGCAGGATCAATCTGTGCAATGTCAGCCAGGGGTTTTGTGCAAGTCTGTGCTCTTGTGCCAAAGGGTTTCCCCATTTTTCTGGGTTTAATAAATGTTGTGGACCTGTGCAAATCTTATTTGCCAAATCTTACCTGCCACAGATTTTGGATGGCACATAGCAGTGTTTGAATGCAAGAAGTCTTTTGAGCATTTGGAAATGATGGAGAAATTCAGAAAGGTTGTAAAATAAATGGTCCCACATGTTCAGTGCCCCTGATGCTTGGTTTTGTGTCACTGAGAGCGTGGCACCTCTAGCCTTGGGGACTTGCTGCTGTGATGCAAAATACATTTAATAAGGATAGAAGAAAGCTCAGCTTTATAGGTGTGGTGTGTGTGACATGGTCTGAATTTATGTAATGGTCTTATGGGTGCTTGGGTTGTCCTTTTATGCTTCTGGCCAGTGAAACTGGGACTTCTGAAGCACTTGGCTAGATGCAGAATATTCTTCTTTCTTGCTCCTGAGCCTGGTCCTCAGGAAGACCAGGCTCCTACAAGGCAGAGCATCATTCCTCCATGGGACAGCTTAGCTAGTGCCTGTGCAGGCATCTTTTTGCTCTCAGAAAGGTCTTCTCCTCTTTCCCCTTGTAGCATCTCAAGAGGGTTAAAAATCTGTAGGATACAGAGGATCCCAGTTGATGTCCATGTTCATCAGCTGTCTTCTCTTCTGACAGGAGCTCTCCCACTAGCTGATGCTCTAGCCAGTTCAGGGCTCCTGTACTCAAGCTAGGTCTCCTGCTTACAGCCTTTTGCAGGAGATGGAGGTTTCTGAGCACCCACCTGCCTTTTTCCTGTTCCACAGCTCAACCCTACCACCACCATCATCCCTTTCCTTAATACTACTCTTTGAACATCATGAGTCCTCAGAAGCATCCTGAGCTCCCTACCTGACGGTTCAATCCTGTCAGTGCAGGGGCTTCATTCAGAAGTTGGCAATTAGCTGTTATAAACTCAACAGTTCAAAACAATAAACATGTTAATTAAATAGTGAGTCTTCTTCTGTGTTACAGTTTTCTCAAGCAGCCAGTGGAAGGCTTATGTGGGGTAACTCCTCTTGCTGGAAACTGTTCATGCGATTTATAGCTTGAAATCTCAGTTGTTCCTCAGAAGTGAAACAACTGCAGTGGCTCAGAGAAAGTGTTTTAAAAATAAATATTTACTGACAGTGTAAATCTTCTCCATGTAAACATAACCATCTTCTTCAATTATCTCCTTGCCTTTGTGTTTCCTTCTCCTCAGTCCATGTTGGCCTCCGGAAGGCACTGCATAGTGCTGGAAGTGGGCTGAAGAGCATCAACACGCTGGAGACACCTTTGTCATAATGGCATGGCTTTGGCTCCTTGCTCCACTATAGACAAGGATAAACCTTGAACTCTCAGCCTCTCCTGTTGGAAAGGGATTTAAAAATTACTGTCTTGGAAAACATATGGATGCTATCTTTGTTGCAGGCTGGAGTTTTGAGTTTGACCTGTCAACAAGGTTACTCCAGGCAATCTATGTAGGATGTGAAGAAAATATGGTATGTTATCTTGCTCATGTTAGGATGTGATAATGAGAGATGCTTAGAGCTCTTAAAAACCCAAGGTTCTCTTGGGTTTGAGCTGCTCCCAGGCACTCTGCACCTGACAAGGTCTAACCCTGCAAGTAGCAATGGGGACTCCTAGAAGGTGTTGGCCTTTGAAGGACGGTGGTTGTGAGATGGAGCCCTGCGTGAAGGTCCCATAGCAGATGGGAGACATTAAAAAGGCTGGACTGGTGAGTCCTGGTCTGAAAAAAAAAACCAACCACAAAACAAAGTGTATTTGGGGGCCGATGGCTTTCATATGTCTCAATTGTGTCTTGCAGGGGAAGGTGGCACAGACGGCGTGCATGTCGGCCTGCAAGCACCTCTCCACCTCGCTGATGCAGCTGCTGCTGGAGGCCGAGGTGCGGCAGCTGACGCTGGGCGCCCTGCAGCAGTTCAACCTGGACGTGGAGGAGTGTGAACGTAAGATGCAAACCCCATTTCATTTCCCATGTCTGGCCCCTTTGTGTGTTGGGACCCCAGGCAGGGCTTTTTGTGATGCTGTTTGGGACTGGGGAGCACCTGCAGAGCTCCCTGGGGCTGTCCACGGTGACGCTTGGCAATGTCTTCAGCACAGAAGAAGCAAATTCTAGAGAGATCAAAGCTTTCCTCTTCCTTTTTCTCTTTAATGCCACCTTGATGCTTTGCAGACCATCCCTGCTTTTGGAGATGGAGGATTTTAAAAACAAGAGGGATTAGAGTGGGTAAAACATGAGGAGGGCTAACAAAAATCAGTTTACTTAGGGCTGTTTCTGAAACCAATAACTGGCTTATGTTCTCAAGAAGTTCTGGTCCTTTCCTGACCTAAGCTGTTTGTCTTCTCTAGCTGCTGCAGGGAATTTTTTTTTTCTCAAAGCAAATGCTTTTGGCAAAGTCACTGTTATGGAAAAAGAGATGTCTTGTGAGTCCTGGGGAGGCCATGGAGCTGATCTGAGGCTGAGAGGGTTTGGGTGTTCAGCCTGGAGAAGAGAAGGCTCCAGGGAGACCTTAGAGCAGCTTCCAGTGCCTGAAGGGGCTCCAGGAAAGCTGGGGAGGGACTTGGGACAAGGGCAGGGAGGGATGGGACCAGGGAGAAGGGTTTCCAGCTGGCAGAGGGAGCTGGAGATGAGATGTGAGGGAGAAATTCTGGGCTGTGAGGGTGGGGAGAGCCTGGCCCAGGTTGCCCAGGGAAGCTGTGGCTGCCCCATCCTTGGCAGTGTTGAAGGGCAGGTTGGATGGGGCTTGGAGCAACCTGGGCTGGTGGGAGGTGTCCCTGCCCATGCAGGGAGGTTGGAACTGGATGATCTTGAAGGTCCCTCCAACCCAAACCAGTCTGTGGTTCTATGAAAGTAACTGCAACAGTTCAGAGGCGTGTTTGGGCAGCACGGTACCAGCACCGTGGCTTTGCTCCCAGTGCTGCTCATTTCAGTTCATCTAGATCACACCTGAACTAGATCTGAAATCTTAAGGTTTCCTTCAAGTTGTTTGTTATCCTGCTCAGCAGGATTAAGAAAATATAACACAATGTGACAACATGCTTTTTTCCCCTCCTGTTTTTATAATAGAAGCCAAAGCACAGTGAGCACAGTTCTGCAAAGAGCCTCTCTTCTTTATCAGGGGGTGGATTTATTATTGGGATTAATACTGGGATGGGTTAGTGACTGTGGCTACAGAAATTGTTGAGTTTGATCAGGTTGAGAAAGAATTCAGGAAATCTTTGATAAAGTAGTTTAAAGATTTTTGTTTTTCTGAATACCCATCTTTTTGGCTTTCTCTTTTGAGGTGGAGATTGGGATGTGTCTTGCTTAGATCACAATAAACCTGTTTGCTGCAGAGTCTTTTGAAATGTGCTTTGGTCCAATGTGGCTCCCATTAAACCCCACAGAAAAACAACCCCTGGCCTCGGTACACATTGTGTTGGAGCTTAAATAATGTTGAGTTTGCTTTTTCTATCTCTGATAAGTCAGTGGCATCAGTGGAGTTGGACTTCATCACTGTTGGACACTTTCACTGTCAAAAGATGTTCTTCCACCCTTTATAAAACGCTTTGCTGACGGTGTCTCAGTTCAGCTGCACCCATCGATAGTGAGATTAAATTTATTTCTCAGAAAGATCACCCGGGAAGATTTTTTGTGTTTATAGGCATTAATTTTTTAATGTCCTTTTGCTGATTCCCAGCACTCAGCTGAGTAGCCTGGGAGCAGGATCCCTGCTTAATGAATCACATCCCCAATTTGCAGCTGTATCATATGTCGCAATGCGAACAACGCCTTACTTTTCTTCCCCGAAGTGTCTCCAGCCCTAAATTGTGGCTAATTTGTGTCCCATCAGCACACCAGGGCTGCACCAGCAGCTGTGTTCCCAGTCGGTGTCCGCCGAGGGACAGGCAATGGGAATAATGGGAAGCATTTGTCATCAATAATAGTTTCCCTCTTTTTCTTTTGGCTGCCAACAGACTCGTATCCCTGCAGTTTTCCGCCCCATCGGTAACGCGGGTCACTAAGCAGCATCTCTTCCCTAAAAGCCCTCGTGTGCTAAGTAAAACGGATGACATTTAATATCAGGTTTAAAAGCACAATTCCTTCAATTCCACTTGTTTTGTGAGGCAAAACCAGGAGCACTCAGACATTCAAGAGCAGGTGACGCCAACCTGAGCAGCGGGGCCGGCGACCTGCTCCCCCCAGCCCCGGCCCGAGGTGCCGTCTCGGGTGGGGGAATGGAGACGGATGCTGGTGCTGTAACCTTCCTATCCATCACTGTCAGCCCCCAGAACCCTAAACCCAGACAAAGTCTTTTATTTTTTTTTTCCTTTTCGGCAGCAAAAATGCCTTCCCTGGTCCCCGTGGCTTTGTCTGGTGGCTTTGCTGACACCAGGGTTATTTTTAGCTTTTATATTCAAGAAGCAAAGCATCAAGATTTTAATTTTAGGGAGAACCAGTCCTGAGAGTGAACTGGTGTGTTCAGAAAACACATTTTAGTTTGCAAGGGGTTGGTTTGCTTTTTTTTTCTTTAAATCTTTTACCTGAAAGTTCAGGTATGAATCTCAGCATCCTTATCTTACCAGCTGCATATTTGACTTCATGTCTCTGCCTCCAGCCCACCTCCTTTCCCCACATCCCCAAGCTTTTCCTAATTTAACAACTTTATCATGTAGTTATCATATTAAAATAGGATTCTGTAGCTGTTTGGAGCACTTCCAGTGAGTTCTGTGATGTGGGAACAGGGCTTTGGAGTTTTGATCCCAGAGTTCATTAGGCTTTTGTTTAAGTCTCTTGTGAATGCCAAAGGTACAAGCTGGTTAAGAAAGTGGGGAAGCAAATTAATAAAGGTACATTAAGGGTTTGAAGGTGGTGCAGATAATTTGCTCTATATCAGAGTAGATATCATGCACATTACAAGAAAATGTATTTATATTCAGTTGTAGAGGTGAAAATTATTATGGCTTAGACTTAAAACAAGATACCGGTAAATTAATTTTCCAGGCTTGTGGGTTCAGAAAATATTTCCTGATTTATAAATAAGCTGCTATCCCATCAGCATGAAAAGAGAATGGCTGCATGAACCATTGCATCAGACTAAGGTTTGGCAGCACACACAAGCCTTGGGAGAAGCACAAGGCTGTGATGGGACCCCTTGCCTGCACTAGAAATTCCCCACTCCATAGGAACGTGCTTGTTTTGCATGTTCAAAGCCCTGAATATACAGTTTATTCATTTTATGAGCTACAAAAAGAAAGCTTTTGGAGGGTTGAGGAGAAGTAGTAAATTAAATAAACAACAAGAGCCCAATCTTGCCTGTGCTGGATGTATGAATAGTCCTGTATACGTCAGCAGCATTTTTGGTGTGAAAGAGGCAAGAAAGAGTGGAGCTGCAAGGTTGTAAAAATCCCATTAGGCTGCCTGTGATGTTAGAAACCTGGGAAAAAAATGTGAGCTGTTTTCCTCTGGTATTATTCCCTGGTGAGACTGCAGTGCTGGAGCCTCTGGCTGGACAAAGCCCTCGAGGAGATGGAAGACACCAGTCTTCCCCCATGAGGTGGATGTTCTCAGTTTCCCCAGTGAAAAGCTGTTTTCTAAGATGTGCATTGGAGTTTTGAAAGTCTTTTGGTGCAGAGTTTCCAGCATGTGTGTCTGGATGGCACAGCTGACATCCAGGGAAGGGGAAAAGGCCTTTTTAAAACATCTGTTACTGGCCAGGTATTAGTTGTGGCTCTTGTTTGTGTTGTTTGGCTTAAGGTAGCTTTTTTTTAATGCAGTCAAGAGAGGTTCTCTCACCTCCTTTTTCAATTTGAAGTAAAATAAGGCATAGAGGTTAAATGATTTGCCCAGAAAGACACAGTAGGACATGCCTAATTATGTCTCAATTTAGGAGCAAGTTCTGGCTCCAGCCCAACGAGCCAACTTGAAAAGAAAAAAACCCCAACAACTCTGGAGAGGAAAAAAAATACAACCCACCTACATATATATTCCTGTGAACCTGTAAATAGAGGAGGTGATGCTTTTTTCAGAGTAGACATTTGTTTTTTTCAAATGAGTTTGCTGTCTTCCAGAATATGTCTGCAACCTAAGGTTTCACAGTACTTGCAATGTGCTTTTTGTAATTGCTATGTGCCTTGTAACCCAGGTCTCTGTTCTGCTCTTTTTGGACCTCCTGGTGCTGATATTTATATGTATATTTTCCATATATTTCCATATATATATGTTTATATATTTTTCCAACCAAAAAAGCAAAAAGAAAGGGGGGGCTCTTCCCTCTCAGACAAAAGTGTTTCCCATCTATGTAACCGGTTCCAGCAGTGGTTGAGGCAGATTGTTTTTACAATACTGAGATCATAAAAGAAGCAGTTCCATAATCTCTAAAGTCTTTTTAACTGCTGCTTTATGAGAAATTAAAAGCACCGTAAAAATTATATTTAAAATTTCATTAAACTCCCAGTTTTGGGTCAGCCCACTCTTGGGGGCAGTCAATAAGAAACAGAGATGTCTCCTCTGGTTTGAGGAATCCTCCAGCCCGACACCCAGGTTTGCCAAAATGCTCTGATACGGGTGCCCATGCAGCCTTTTGCCACCCCCTTCTTGGTGGTGTCATCTGTCTCTGAGGACTTTCTCCTGTGGAAATCCCATGATTTGTGTCAGATGGCAGGGTTTGCCCACCTCACCAGGGTGTCCTCTCCTTCCAGGGCAGGCTGTTTGCACCTCGCCGACGGCACCATGTGCAGAGCTAAAGGGGAGCACGGTGGTTTTGGGGACAAACTCCCTGATCTTAGGCTGTTGCACTGTGTGCTTCCTGGTGTCCGTCCTGCCACAGTGCACCAGCACAAGTTCATGTTTTGGGAGAGAGAAGGGGACATGGTAAAGAACAGAGGGAAAGGTTTGAGCAGATGGGAAGAGACATCTCCATGCCACTGATGCTGATCTCTTGATGCACCTTGAATCCTGGGGTCA